GGAGAAATATCAATCGATACCATATTTAGTATATGAATGTTCCGAGACTCCTTTAGAACAACTCGATAGAGAAATTTTTTTTTAAAAAGGAAAAGCTAACATATGAAACACAAGTATTTATTGGTTTATGAACAGATTGAAAAAAGAAGTGATTTTCAATTGAGGTTTAGCACTGGATTTCAAGTTTTGATGTTTGAAGTGCAACACTTCACAGGAAATCCATGTGAAATAGTGTGTTGTTTTCCCTTTGAAGTTAACATTTATAATAAGATATAGTGAAGTGCAAAAACTCGAACCCAAGACATTACGAAGTAAGACGAAGCTCACTTCGTCTTACTATGATAAATCTCTCCCTGAATTCGCTAATGAATAAAATATCGCTGCCAAACCGAATCCTACCCTCTGAAATCTTCACTCCAGATCTCCCTACTAATGTTTATATTCGAATCACGTAACAGTATGATGTTTAATGTGACATACTGAAATACAAAAACCATTTCTTGTCTACGCCAATTGAATTCTGCAACTGCCAACTCCTCCGAAACTCATAAAGTATCCAATCGGCACGTTAGAGTCCTATATTCAGAGTTTGGTTTCAAAACACGTCTAACACAACTGATTACTCCTCAGCTCATGTTCAAGTTGGTGTGCCACATGAGAGATCAACACATAGTTCATCCAAGGAGTTTTGAAATATGTTGCGCATCATTCACATGGCATTTAGTTGTAACACAAAATCTTCCAGACTCAATACACGTATTTATAAGTTAAATATTGTATGCAACAATAAGTCCACCGGCTTAGATGTTTGAAACATCTTCGTCATGTCCCTGCGGCTACTTCAAAGTACTGCAAAACTTGTAAAATCTACTTCCCTTCCAGAGGGAGAATCTAGAAAAACCAGTTCTAACTAAACTTTAAACGTTCCAAAATCAAACCTTCCTTGGTGGCGTGCATAGGAAGATCACAATAATAAAATAAATACACCACCATGAAACAAATTCTTACCAAGACCAAGATTCGAAGCTGACGGCCGCAACTTCTTGAATTCACACTTTGCAGACTAGTACGTTTGCTATAGGAAATACTGATTAGTTGGATAAATTAGCCGTTTTCAGACTTGCAACCTCACAACCGCAGGTGCAAGTTTCCCCGCATGCGGAGGTCAACTACTGTAACTTCTGACAGACTGCTTCTTTCACGATTGCCTCTTAGTAGTTAGGACAATTTTACATGACATGGATTGTGCAAGATTTGGACTTTAAAATTCACGAGTTAATCAGGACAACAGAGCAATGGCACCACCATTGAAACTATAGATTGTTAACGTATCTATAAAGTTGAGGACCGATGTGTGAGTAGTGTAGTTTGATGTAAAGAAAGTGACTTGCCCTACATCAAGACCAATACTGGATCTAAAAGGCTTAGTGTAAAATATAAACCACTGTCGCGACACGACAACTAGTCATAGATGATCAAAACGATGTGAAATTCAACCTGACCTCTACTTCCAACTTTATGAAAATCAACTATTTTAAGTGCAAAGTAGGAACTCTACTTAAATTTTTCTTATCCATAAGAAAAGTTTTATGGATAAGAAAACGTTCTTTTCGACGATGACTTTTAAACTCGAAACTGGGACCCACCAACATTTCAATTTCGCAGAGTTTGGATCATAAAAGCCCTCGGTTTCGTTGCGTTGCACCTAATAAGTAGATCATAAACATGATTGCCTCACACCAGTTGAAAGAAGCTGGAGTTCAGATTCAACGGACTGGCTTGACTAACTTGACTTAGATGGTCAAATACAAATAAGCCAAAAGATACCTTCTGATCACCAAAAGACATACACAACCTTATACAAGGTGAAGTGACAGCTGTTGTATCAGTGACGGAATTTCAAATATTTATGCTTGGCGATCTGATTCATATCTAGCGTGACCAATTACGAATATTAAGGAGGTTCTTTGTGGAGAGTTTCTGATTGCTGAGGACGTGACAGAGAACTTACAAAAATCCAGCACAGCTAGAGGAAAGAAACAGGAATACCTTTCCAGAAAGATTATCGTCTACGAAATCGTCTCAAAACGTATCACACAAATTCCAAAACTGGGCTAAACCATAGAGCAGGACATATCAGATTCTCCACCACCTTCCTGTCAGACCTTTAAAATATTCGTTTACGTCGATCTCCTGGTGATATCCAACCAAAGCGCCTCCCTAACCTTGAAAGGGTTTTTACAAAGAACTTACTTTTTTACAAAGGATTTAATTTTGACAATCGAAGAGATTTGGGGTGTTGTCACTCGACTCACGTAAGTAAACAGAAAAATCAATCTGGACAAGATAATGGTATATTCTTACTACCACAACTGATGCATTCTATGTAGCACGTCTCTTTACTATCTCAAAGTCAGAATTAGTCCTGTTATTTGTTAGATGTTAAAATTTTGGTCCCCTGGAACTTACCCTTGAATCTGATCACTGTATAGCTTAAAGAAGGAATTTCGATGTGTTTGATCTTCGTATTCTGAAAAAACATCCCAAAGAATGGATGTTCCAACCTACAGCAATCTTCGATACTTCTTGCATTTTTTCTAGAAAGCTAATGCAATTCTCCTCCTAATGTCTACCGACTGCCAATGTTTCAAGCAGAGGTGCCCAGATAGGCTAGAGGTGACACTCAAATAATCTTCAGCTGATGTTTTCTAGGTTTGAGTTCTATACATACAATGTCAACACCATACTTTGTGTAAGAAAAAGCAGAGTATATACGAGACCACCCTACTGAATGCTGAACAGAGGTAGTGCGAGGAAGAAAAAACGGACATTTGACAACTTAGCTTTGAGCTCATTCGGTTTTTCAGAAACTGAAATATTTCAAAACCGAACTGAAGAAATAATTGTTACGGTGTCCACGATCATATGACTATCAGACGTGTTCTTTTGTCTAAGGTAAAAAAAGAACCAAGTATTTTCCCGTAGGAGCATGAAGATCAGTACCTCGTGCACTACTTTAACAGGTTGTTTGTTATCGACAGAGTACTGAGGATTTTCCATAGCAGTCATGCTATTTGAAAGGAAGAACTCAAGTTTGTGAGATGGTGTCAGAATCTCTTTTACCGCCTTCCAACCATTCAAATTTACAGCTAGACTCTTTCGGCACAATTCTATGCGTCAAGCACAATAACTCAGGGCGAACAAATTTCCAGAGAAGAGAGGATGTTACAGAGAATCCTCTCCTAGCCCAGATTCTGATTGACGATAGGCAATAAAACACGTCGATAGTAATTTGGCGCGCCGGCCAGAGTCAAGACTCCGAAAGGACTGGATTGATTATGATGATCGAGGTTTCACATAAGTATCCCATCCTCGCGTTGATTTCTCTATCATTCATGATAAGCATACGAGCCCTGTTCTATTCAAGGCTAAGCCAGTCCACCCAACTAAGTGATATTACATATTTCGCCAGATTAGTACGTTCTCAGGACAGTCTTACCTCGTGACTAAGAGAATAAGCAGTCAGAATAGTGTCAGCTCTCACCATAACTTCGGTACACGTTTAGTCATCTGTTTGACGGGTAGTACTGAGAATGAAGCTCACATGTTTTGTCTAGCATAGGTATCTCACGCAGCCCAGATAAGAACTACTAATTACACATGTAATTCAGACAACTGACGAAAAATGCAATCATCTCTGTTTGCAGCCTTAAGATCAGCGCTAACCCTTCTTACGTGAACACTAGTAATGGTTTGGATGAGGACTTCTTTACTCCAACATGGAAAAAAGAAAAAAAACCTACTAACCTCTAAATAGTTTTCTCTGAACATTGAGATCCGTCATGGTCCAGTAACTATTCAACCATTCATGTGATTGGAGTTGAGTATACCTTCAAAACACAAGTCCAATATCATGGCACGCTTGACTGTAACACTATGAATATGACTGTGTCCAATGATGCCAACACCTGTTCCACACCGTTTACTGTCTCTTAAGAAACAGACTCGCTATGAAACATCTACTGAGAAAACAGCTCTTTGTGGCCGAAGACAACACGTATGTTCTAACGATTGATACTAGCTAACGGGATCCTAGATCCTCATGGTTGAAATCTCCATCAAAGATATATTAAGAATCACAATATGGTCGAGAAATCCCGTTCTGTCGGAAAAACAGTATACGGTGCCTCATCCCTCTCGATAATCAGACGAATTTAGACTTAAAAGTTTCTGATAGTGCAATGAAGATAAAGAGAAGACTGACAGCGACCCTAATGGTCAATCTACTGATTAGATTTACAGCATGTGACAAATACTTCGCGCCATCCAGTGTTCCGTTAACCGTCACTTCCTTCCCAGGAGCAAGAAAATCATGAAAACAGCATATCCTCTCGACAATGAACTCAACTAGCTCAGGCATGTAGCTCGTATAGAAGGATACGAGGGTAAAATGGAATAAAACTTATTTATATTTCTAGCAAGACACATGACAACATCGCTCTCGACACTCATACAAGATCAGAATGAACAAATACAAATTACAGACATATACATACATCCAAGTCTGCTAAAGTATACCAACATCTAATTTATATCCGATATGTGAGATGACTAACTTCTCGTCTTAGACTTTCATATACATGAGAGTTCCAATTAACGATTTTGAAACTCCCGTAAATCTCTCGGAAGATGACAGATAGATTACTCATAGGAATGCATACAACGCTCAAGAGAAGGAAGTGGTGACAAGGCTTGTTCAATTATAAACTGGACGTAAGATTATCGATACGATCTTCGCAACATCTGGAAAGAGCGGCGTGGGCGTTGTTACAAGAAAGAAAGACCAATACTTTCTCAAAGCGTGGAGACTTTGGCCAGAAAAATGAGAATCATGGAAGCATATGACTACGTCAAAGCCTTAGGGATTAAACTTGAACCACGCAATGCACCAGCGAGCTTGACCCTCTCATCCGGGATCGAAAGATTCTAGAAAGATAATTCGGGACACAAAGCACAAGGCATGAATATATTGTGTCAAAGTTTCACTTGGAGAAATTTCCATGAACATTATAGAGCTCCGTGTAAAAGCTACTGCTAACTATGTCCCAAAGGTCAGGCATGACCATGTCGGAGCTGGCAATAAGTAGAACATGAAACTTTGTATCAGAAGTGACAGGATCTCAATTTGGTGCCAACAGCGGTGAGCACGACGGGAACTGATTTCCAATCTCACATTACACGAAGAGAAAGGAAAGTCTCAAAATTTCGTTTCACAAGGAACACGCGTGAACTACGATAGTAGTACGTTCTACCGAGTAGAGATCACGCTGAGACTTTGGGCAGCGAGCTGCTGGTCAAGGCGACCACTAATCTAAAGCTCATGACCATAACTTGGGACGGCGGAGAGGTTGGAGGCAGAATGATGAATAACTAATCTAGTCCTTAGAAAGTTCCTAAATAAAACTGGCAAAAAAGACTACAGTACACTAACTAAATCTGCCCGTCATATCCGTATTAGTGCAAGCTACTTGCCTTAGGTGACTGGCTCCCAAGGAAAAGAACAAAAAATCAAACATGAAACTCTGTTGCGGACGATCTATCCTGATTTCAAAGCTCCTGCTTATCATGCCCAAGTCACTCGTACAGTGAATACTTTATTCCACAGCAGCCATGACCTTGAGTCAGTAATAGTGTGGACGACTAGGTTGTTGGGTTGGCAAAGGCAGCAGTGGACCTCTTAGCCCCGGAGCTTGTGCATGTGGATGTGGTGCTCCGCCATACTCTGGAACTGCAGGAGGCAATACATGAGTCCCTGAACCTAGCATCTTTGAAGAACTGGAATTATGACTCAAATGAGAAGAGCCTGCACATACACGTTACACTATTCTGAGAGAAACAGACGATTCACATGCAGAAGACTCTTCACTAGCTTTCCGGTATTATTCCATCTCTGCCATAGTCAAACAAACATTAGCTTAGGGCATACCACCATGAGGTTTCCAGTAAAGACCACTTTGGGAGGTCATTTTGTACCTTTACTACACGTCAAATCTGAAACCCATTACTTATTTCAAAAAGTTCTGATTTAGGACAGACCTTGGAGAAAGACGAACACTACTTGGAGACGAGGCATCCTACCAACCCCATAGGAGCAAGCAAAACCATACATTTAGCCTTCACCTATACCACAACAATCTACGCAGGAAGCCCTACCACTAACTCTAGTAAGATCTATAAACACTCCTGAGACTGAACCACGTGGTATATTATATTCATTGAGGCCATCTATTTGATCAAAGGTGATTGGCCTTGACCCCTTTGTTCATCCTTCGCAAAAAAGGGTATCACTGTTCGAGGATAGAAATACCAGCACATGATAATTAACATCTCCATACCGAGACGGAAAGCAGACATATCAACTTATAAGTCCTACAACACCATTGAAACAGGAAAAAAACAAATAGGTAGAAAATTGAACAAGCACAGAGTCAGCCATTACTAGAACCCAAGAGTAATAAAGGGAACTCAAAGGCAGTAGAACAAAGAGACGAGAAAGTAGTGAGGAACGCGTATTGATCATGAGGCTGGCTTATGGTTGGTGGAAATCGGACCGGACATGGCCAAGATATCTGAAGAAGAGAATTCAGTAGATGCGGACCGCCAGTGAGGAGGGTCTAGAACAAGACGGATTTCAGTTGAATGAATTGGTCAATACTTAAAGAGAACGAAGAAAAATGTGGGATCTTGTGGTATAATAGTAGACCCAAGATATTAGAGGACCTTCTTGTATTAAGATTATCGATAACAGTCAATATATTGCAACTTTCAACAAAGAAATTTTATTGGAAACTGAAAAGTATCCTAAAGAAAAAAAGAGACGCCAGGATGACTCCATATCAATTGAGTAGTCTCTAGGTAAGGGCAATTTATAATGTTCACTAATACCTCCTTCTAAGTTCTATTTTAATGTAGAAAAATACTTGAGTAGGAGAACAAACACTTCCAGACCAAAACAACTCCACAATGAATATATCATGGTTGAAACTTGAAGACCCTCTGCATTTTGTGAGAGTGCGGTCTCAGAAGCCTCGCTATTGGTGCAGATCACTGAGGGTAGGAACAAGACTACTGACCTCGGAGCTAACAGATGTTAAAATCGCACCATATAGAAATTCGGATTTAAGAAAGAACCAGATTGGATCCATCAAGCTCTTCGTTTTGTCCTTGCCACAACACAGAGGAGACATCGCGTGGACGGATAAAATATTGCCTAAGGTAATTATTGAAGAGGTTGAAGAGGTGAGAAAATGTGCGTTCCTTTTTTCAAAGCTTTCCAGGTAATACGGGCTGTGTGATGATAAAGCAGAAAACGCACATGTTTTAATTGTGCAAAATTTGAAAACGAGACATACTTCATAAATTACGAGAGTGTTACCATCTTGCAGTGGGCTTCTCACTGAATACGAACAGTCGATGTAAATCTCAAATAAGCAGGATCTGAGGCATTATTCATGACCTCTCTCTCATACTACTAACACATGTTGACAGCAAAGGCCGGTTTACGGCCAATAACAAAGTCCAACAACTAATGCCTCAAATTCAAATCTAGTTCCGTATGAAAGGAAATCGTTTCTGATAAAACATTAAAACATAAAACATTCATTTCCCAGGTCAACTATAAAAAGTTAAGCACTCAAAGGTCATGGAGTCCTGAATCCAAATTATGGAAGTGAAATTGGCCCGCAACGCAACGATTTGCTAAAATCGTTTTCTTAGAATAAGAAGTAACACAAAACATGTTACCGTCACGAGATAGAAGCTTCTTTACCATTTCCGAGGAGATTTCACATGATCAAGGGTCGAAGGTTGCAAACAAACATGACCAACAATTTTCTTCAAATTACAGCAGTCCTCGCTTGCTGCTCGGATTGATTCTTTTCAGAAGTTGGTCAATTTTTGTGATCAAAGCGTGGCTTGGAGCATCTGAGGAAAGGAGCCCCTAGCCTTTGGGGAGTTTCGAACCCAACTTCCTGGGTGGAAAACAAGGATAGCCTACACAAACGCTAAAATATTGAGGTCGAAAACAGCTAAAACATATGCATAGACATCCTAATTTTATTTGGACTATGATTCAGAAACATAGTGGTATTCGACGAGAGATCATAGGCGTCTCCTGATTAGACTAACCGACGGCGACCGAGGAATATGGTTAAAAACAAGAGAAAACTGCAGTTATTATGCCACCAAACTCGTTCAGCGAGACCAGTATTTTGGTTCCTGTGTATACACACAATTCAGTCTGGAAGTATAGATAATTGGATCTGCTTAAAACGTTAAAGGTTGGAAACTCAAATAAGAAAATTGGTTCGCTCAGTGAAAGGAGAGTAGCTTCACAAACAACGTGAGAGTACAAGCGAAGCGACTCTGTACAGAACACCGTAGTTCACGTTTAGTTGTGTAAGCAGAATTGTATGTGGAGAAGACAAAATAAGGAAAGTAGAGATATTTGATCTACAAGACAAACGAGAAAAACTGCAGACTTTGGAAGACTTCGTCAATTAACAAAAGCAAAGTATTAACATTTGATACTATATCTGTTGACCCGGTCTGCTTTTGGCGGGATAGGTTTATCATTTTCATCGAGCGACCGTAACACGCAATAAAAAGCATAAGTCCAATTCTGTGCAAAGGCAGAGAGCGGCCGCTAGAAACCCTATAAGTACCGACACACTGCTGCCATTCTAAACCTTTTCGGGACGCCAAGCATAGAACACTCATCACTACCTCGTGATAGCGTTGAGACCCTGGAATATCTGTCTAGATTATGGTATCTCAAATATCTCAAGGAACAACGACTACGACTCTGCCTTCGATAGCGCCATCAGCCGCTTTAAGCAATTAGTTCCATTATAAAGTATGGCATGAGTTCAAACGCCAATAGGCGATTCGTCCAAGTATTTCCAACGATTCATCTGTATCTGTCCTACTCATTTCGAAGAGAAGGACAGAATCAGATTGCTGTTGGAAGCCCAAAAGTCCGATGTTAGCCTCAAACATGACAATCTCCAACCCAAAATATAGAGGTTTCGGCAAAGGAGAAGAGCGCGCAATTACTCCAAAATGGAGAATGCATTCAAGCTCGTGAAGATCCGTCCTAAGATAACAACTTACACGACTGGTACTCGTGTTGTTCGCAAACTTCAAAGATGTCCCACAGACGGGAAGGCCATAACCAAAGAGGTAGTGAGGTACAACCAGTAGTAATCAGGTAACATATCTAACATAATCCGGCATATTAGTAAAGTGCTGTTTCCACACAGAATGTCATAGAACGGAGTGAAACGGAAGCGCCAGCAAACGGACAATCAAAAGATGGTTGACATCCGAAAATCACACGTGAACAACCGCAACGGCTTATCACGCAAGGATAAGGCTTAACACATCATAAGAAGGTTGACAAGTTCATAGCGATCAATCCGACTACAAATAAAAGTAACAACGTTAGAAAAACCAGACATGATCTCTAAGGAGTCAGCTGACAAAGAATTGGAAGAGAGAATAATACATAAAGAGGCATCACAGATTGAAAGCTGAACCTAGGGAATCGTAACCTACAGCATTGATAATGAAAGTCGAGGTGATCAGTTGTGTATGAATAAGTCGCTTAGTTTTGAGAACTTGGACCAGCGTTCTATAATTGGAAAAAGTTTGGAGAAATTCAAGTAGAAAAGGGAACGATATTAGTTGCGGCACAACCATACGTTCAAAACGATCCTCTCCATCTCTGATTGTTGCAAATAGACCGCAGATTATATCTATCTCAACTTTCGACCTCCAAAAAAAAAAAAAAAACAGGCCAAACATCAGGCAGACTCCTTAGATGAGACAGGTTTCCAGAGTTTAAGAATTCTTTTCAGAAGAAGGCAAGCGTTCTCTTATCTACTGCACTGACCTTCCAGTTTATCAGCTATTTGGCTGCTACAATCTAAATTACAGAACCACAAAACCCAAAAATACTGGCTGTACATTCTCCTTATCTCGACTACACAATGAGGGGCCTTGAAACTAGAGGTGGTGCAAGACAATTGTCCTTACGGCGGTTCCTGGAGGATTTGTGTGACAGAATTTCCTTGTGCAAGAAATAGCTACCGTATTTCCTGGTGTCAATTGGCGGGAATATGAGATCCAATTTGTATATGAAAAAAGACAAACCGAACCAGATCAAACCAACCAAATGGCTAGTAAAGATTCCTATACGTAAGACTGTTCACCCAACTAGCTTGGACAGGATGAAGAGTTAGAGCTGTACCGACGACGGACGACATGTTCTGGGTATAGTTTGGATTAAAACCATCATTCGGATTAAACATCCCTCTGGGAAGTCCATTCGCTGAAGTCAATCCGTCATGTCCAGACATGGGCAACCCCACTGCCGGACCTACGATGTCGTATGGGGATCTTCCAAGACCATTGGCGTGCTTCCCTGCTTCATAGGCTGCCTTCTGCAACCCATTCAAAGTATTTACAGCGTCATAGTTCCCATTATCATAACCAGACCTCGGCATTCCAGTAGCTCCATTCATTCCATCGTAAGCGGACCTTGGAAGCCCAGTAGCAGGATTGAGCGATTCATATCCATTCCGCGAAAGGTTCATCGTAGGACTCAGGGAGTTCAAAGCATCATAAGCTGACATCGGTAGACCAGTGGCATTCGGCATGTTCATTCCTCTCTGACCAACCATCAACTCTCCTCTTGGACCAACCATTTCTCCTCTGTGTCCAATAAGCTCGACTCTCTGGCCATACGGTTCTCCTCTTTGATTCAGAAGCTCTCCTCTCTGATTGATGAGCTCGCCTCGTTGTCCTAGCAACTCACCTCGTGGACCCAGCAGCTCACCTCGTGGACCAAGCATGTCGCCCCTCTGACCCATCATGTCTCCTCTTTGACCTAATAGCTCTCCCCTTTGACCCAGCATCTCACCTCTTTGGCCTATAAGCTCTCCTCTTGGTCCCAGCAACTCTCCTCTTGGTCCCAATAGCTCACCTCTTGGTCCCAACATTTCTCCTCTTGGTCCCACGAGCTCCCCTCTCTGACCCATCATGTCTCCCCTTTGTCCTAACATCTCTCCTCTAGGCCCCAGAATTTCTCCCCTAGGACCAAGCATTTCACCTCTAGGACCCATTAATTTGTCAGGTGACCCTAGTAGCCCTTGAACGTAGTTCTGCACAATTACGAAATATTTACATCGAGCGTAAGCACGTCTACATCGAGTCTTGTGGTGTATGATCGAATGAAAATTATGGTTTACCACGACAAATACTGTTCTTTTAACTTCACAAAGAAAGCAAAGAACGTGATAATGTTTCAGTGACTGTGAAACTCAAGCCAATAACGGGCTTAAAGAAGTAGCATGTATTCCGAACGCAACCCTCCAGGTCCTACCTGAGGCATAGGCATCGGCATGTTTCCTCTTTGATACATCAACGGATTTCCCCAATGATCTACAACATGAAACGAGTAGAAGAGATTAGAAACGAGGGAGCCAGGATTGCAAAGAGTCCTACAATAGATCGTGCTAAAAAAAAGTACTCCAACAGTATATTAGCAAACGTAGCAGCTAAGACTACAGTTTTGAGGTAGGGCAGCGAACGAACCTACGAGGCCTCCAGCCAGAGAGCCCATAGGTAATGGCATCCCTCTCCCTCCTTGAGTAAGCTGCCGAGGAACAGGCTTGGGCAGATTGTTCTTATCCCTTTGAACAATCTGCTCTGCCTCTTGCCTCTGAGTCTCCACAAACCAAACCTGAGACGGTCGTTCCGTCACCAGCCGTTAATCTCACTCTGAAACAACGACTTCACAAGTATTCAACAGAACTTCTCCATCATAGAAAAATTTCTCAATCTACAGATTCGTTAAGAAGATAAATCTGCAAGATATACCTCGTCAAAAGGCTCATCTGACTTCGCCATGTCTTTGCTTTTAGGTAGAACAAAGTTCGCTGCACAGGATAAGTACCAGATGATCTTTAGCTTATCCATGACAGAATGCATTTAATATGATAAGAAACAAACGTTTACCAAGTTGCTTTAAAGAGCATCTCTACACTGTGCTAACTCTGACAAGTTGGGTCGTACGATATACCCTTCATGTCGTTTACTGCTTCGATAGGCACTTCCTTCCCCAGTTCCTTTGCTCTAGCGGTCGTTCGTCTGGCGTGCTCATCAGTCTTAGGAACCACCACGACCGCGATCTGCTCCAAATTGTTGACGTAGGTGTTACTCTTTCGGTGAGTAAGACTTAACTTAGACACAAAAGAACAGAGACCAGCTCACAAAATGAAATTTACCGAAACGCTCATTTTCAAGTAGGAATCTTATTTACATGACATATCTCAAAGTTATCTATGTGCATCATTTTTATGAGTATCTTCATCTCAATCGCCTCATACTGGAGCCTTTTGGTGCTCTTTGATAGGAGAGTCGTAACAGTTCCCACCCTGTAAGTAAACCTTCTAGTATCTGTCCTACCTAGAACTGAATCAGCAAAAGTTATTATCCATTACTCATGGACAAGAGCTAGCATTTTTATGAGTACCCCTGTCTTGAGTTATAAAATAACTCAAGACAGGGGGTCCAAGACCGCTCTGCGCACCCGCTGAAACTTCTGATGTCATTAGGCAACAAGAGAAGCTTAAGAGCTAGTGAAATAATCACGTAGGCGCGCAAGGGGTCCACATGGGGATTACAAGAGAAGGATTATCAACACTACAAGGGCGAGGAGGCCTTTTGAATGTTCCTGTATAAGATGAGACCAAATGGATAATACTGAGCCGGTTGTGATTCTCGTTGACCGGAATCATATAAAACAGCGAGAATATAGAGATTATTTCTTGTTCGTCATTCATTTCTCACTTGGTTCGCAGGGCTCAAAGACGAAGTTACAGAAAAACACACGTGGTTTCCGGCACCCATGGGGAGTGCCCAAGCTAGGGCAGAACCGAAAAAAATGTACAGAATGATCAAACATCAACAATCGACGTTCTATATACCAATTTGCCTACATACCAAGCTTTTCGAAATGTCCTTCGGAAATATACAGAATTAACTCACGAAATTCGTTCTGGTTCAGCTAAACTTGAAGTGACTCCGTGACTATCCAGGACTTTGACTTATCTATTGAGTGTCTTTGAAGAAAACCTCTTCGGTGCTATCGTCTTTCTAATGCTAACCCTGCACTGGACAATCGTAAATTCAAATAAAGCCGACGGTCTCTTTACCTGTGGCTTTCTAGCATGAAAACCGTAGTGGCAACTTGCTGCTTTCAAACATTCGTAACAATAAAGCGACGGAAAATTATTTTGAAAAGAAGCACAAGAAGGGTACTGTGCCTATTCCAACATGAGAACTATTCTGATAATACCTTTCTGAAGCCATTGAAGAGCTTTAGTTTGCGCTTCCGAGCACTTAAATATACATTTGTTTGATCGATGATATAATTCCGTGGTGTTGTTGACGCTCTCTCCAGTAAGGTGTTGAAAATCTCAGTAGCCCGTGACATGAGTTGTTCGAATCGCTGGGCATAGTTGTGCTTTCTGAGCAAACCAGGAACCTGCAAAAATAAAGCTGTTCTTTAAGATGCCTCGAGAGGAAAAATTAACGGACTTAAGAGACCCCACCGGTTTGATATTCACCTTCATTTGGTCCAGAGCGAGATTAGTTCCAAGGATGACGTAACGCTTGTCCTGGTGGTCTCTACTCCACTGCTCAGCCCAGCTCGTCTTGCCAGATGCAGGTAATCCGACCATCATCAACAATTCACAGTCACTTTTGTTTCCAATTCTTGGACCCTCCATAGCCAGCCCGTCTTCCAAAGCAACGTCCCAGGGCTTGTAGCCTTGCATCGGTACAAGACCATCACTGACACTAAACTGCATCTGTACCGTGACGTTCTTCAGTAGCAAATGAGGAAATAGAGCTCGGGCCCAAGGGAGCCCTTGTCCAAAAACGGGCTCGGTTACACCAACTCCAGCCGGTCCGGCATCAAATTCCTTCGCAATACCCAGCCATTTGCCATTCTTGGAGAAAGAAATTTTAGCCATGGGCTTGCTCTCTAAGTCTACCGCACAGACTATAGTATCGCCTACGCCAAACTTTTCTCCATAGTCCTTGAAACTGCCTCCCACTGAGAACTTCCCAGAACCACCGAATCCGAAACTGTGCTTGCTCTCCCCTAAACAGGCAACATCTGAGTCTCCTCTTGATACTCCCACGCGACACAAGTTCTTCTGATCATTTGGTGTGTCCGGCATATCAACTTTTTGAATAGCAGTGACTTTGCACCCGAAACAATACCGTCCGCTCAAAACACCGAGATTAGCCCGCGCCCCAGACCAGCAGTAACTGAACCCCTTCTCGTGCAGGGAGCTGCCAATCAGCCCGTTCCCATTTACATTGAAATCTGCAAGGAGGTGCAATTATGAGGGCGTCAATACATGGAAGGCAGTGCAAACTCCACACCGGACTCGGTAAACCTCATGTACGATTACCGCTCGACGTTCTTAAGGACAACTGACTGGCTTTGACCTGCAGATTACGAAAGTAGATATAAATATTGCACATGAGAAAAAAACAAACTGTAACCTACTTGACTGTAGCTTGACGGAAGAAAATCCTATGCTGAAAATAGGATTTTCAGCATAGGATTTTCTTTCAAATAGGACTTTCAAATTAAGATTCTAATTAACATCTTAATTTGAAAAAAAAAATGGGCACATTGTATCCTACTTTAATAAAGCTTGACGCAAGGACATCAAATGCAGTCAAGTCCCACGCTGGTTGAACATATTTGAGAGCAAACAAGAAGCGAGGGCAGAAGACGTCCAAGTAGGTAAAAAACTAAGAAGAAAATAACTCAGAGACTGGAAGAGAACATATTTCCTAAGTACAATGAAGGTACCAGGAAAGTATGTGCAAGCATGAATTCAAAGGATATACAGGGTTTGTTGTCACCCACTTAGACAAGACATGCTTAAATACATGTAATAAAAACAACTATCTTGCCTTCAGGAATTTTAACTGCGCATGTTTAATACCACTCTATATTTAAGTCTGCTTGTACGGATGAACGTAGGCTTGACCTCTGACATCTAGACTATTCAATAAAATACAAAGCATGGTCCTGGCGGCAGAAACCATAACATTAACCTTAAGTCTTGAGACATTGCAACATGTTGATCTGTGAGCATTTTTTGTTCATTCCCGATGTCCGGCATTTGGTGTGTCCGGCACTCCTTAGTCATCGCATGTCAAAGCCTGACTTCAGAGAATACGGACTGGGTGGTGGTAGTAAAAATCATACGATGAGAAGGAACATGGTGCCAGTAGAAATCTTATAATTAGAAGGAAGACGAAACAATGAGAATGAGGGAGAAAACTAAAGATAACTAGTCAAGAGTGAAGACGGTGTATGTTATATGTCCATTTCTCCTAAGCTAAATTACTTCTGAGTTTAAACTAAGACAACTTTCACTAGCTCATCCAATTGTTCAGAGAGGCCCCGGTTGATACTACCCAAAACGTCGCCGCTATGAGCATTGTAGGTAGGCTGACGAGTTCTCAAAACAATACTGGCTCCACCAACTGAGGGAAGTGGTCGTGTAGGTCGTTTGCATTCCCTCAAAGGATACAGTTGACTAAATTGTGAGCAAAAATGCAGTTCTCTATGTCCACTAGAAGAAAGAACTTAATCATAAGGTGTCCAAGTCCTTACAGCAGTTTTTATATAAGATGTGCCCCGAGAACCATACATGCCTGAGCCCCTTGCAGAAAACGATTGTCAACTAGAAGGCAACTAATGTGACGGTACTATGAATCTGGCAGAAAATCAGCGCACAGTAGGGCTTGATTATTGAGAAGCCTGCGGTAATATTCTATGCTAGCACAAAAACGAACTCGTCGACCTTGTCAAAATTGTTTATACCCCTCACTAAAAATTTCCTAACGATAACGGGGGACTCTCAAGATTCACAGCACACAGTGGTAAATAGATGAAACAAGCATCCTCTTCTTTATACAGCGACAGAACATAAGCATCCTGATCTTCTTGGAATATGATTAAAATCCTTCATGAAAATTGTCTTCCACCTCATCTCAAAAACCAAAACGGCAGGATTTAAAATTTTCCTATAACCTAAGTTTCTCGTCTTCAGTTGGAGCTGCTGCTTTGGGTCAAGCTTTCCTCACCATGACCATACAAAGCATCGCTGGAGAGTGGCGCAAAATGGTAGACAAACCTTCGTGCCTTTCAACTGGCAAACAATGTTCAATATTGCAGTTTGAAAGAAACCCTGCACTGACCCTGACTACTGGGTAAATATATGTAGGCCAAACAGCACTATCCGTATAGGGTAAGGTCATCCTGTGGTCTCTCAAGTACTTCTTACGGATACTAAATCATGTGAAATCGACACAAATCGCAAAAGAAATCATTATCACTGTGTATACTTTATTCGCCTTGATTCAATATAGTAGAAATAATGATTCATACAAAATTCGTTAATTGGAATTTTCACTTCCGTGCTTATGCAGTTCCCTTGACTTTATAAAGATACAACCAGAAGCTGAACAAAAATCTGCGCTTTAAGATACAGGTTCAAATCGCTCACCCAAATTGCTGTCCGCAGTATTCAGCACTACTCGCAATTTTGTTCTCTTTGCTTCCCTCTCGTCCTCTAGGTCACCCCCCGGACGTCTCCGGTTATTTTCCTCCTGCCGTGCCGCGGCCATATGTCTGTTACCTTCTCCACGTAATGATTTCTGAGTGTCAACTCCTAATCGGATACGGCTGATTACCCCAGAAAAACTGCGAAATTCTCCAACTAATCAATTGCACTGTCAGAAACCCGCCGCTCTTTTTCCAAGGAAAACCCAACGTTATCTTCAACGCCCTCTGTTTCTCGATTTACGGAACACTAACGACTACTGAACCCGAAATTCGCCTGAAATAAAAAAAACCGCCTCTACTAGTCGTCTTCCACCTCCCGAGTACAGAGAATGTTTCAACCCCGAACATAGAGAGCAAGGAGTTGTGTTGATAGAACCCCCAAGATTGACGACGATCGAGAAGGCTTTGACACAAGGCGCAAAAACGAAGTGCCTCTGTCGGAGTAAAGAGCAACTAGGGCTGAACACAGTTAGTATTCACGTTACTCCAATTGAATAGATTTATTTGAATGAGTCTTGAACAAACACCGTGCGTCCTTGGCCCGCGAAAAGCACCCTTAGACTCGAAACGCTCAAGAAGTGAAGCAATGTCCGTGTTGGCGTTCTAGTCCTCGTGAGCAAGAGCGAAACTCGAGCTCACAGACCTTCCCTCTCCCTTGTCCTCCCTTTCCGTCCGCCTCCTCCTCCTCCGCCCTGCCCAGACCTCGCTATCTGCCTTCCTCCTCGCCTTGCCCTCCCCGCTACCTTCATTCCCCAGTCTCCTCCCCTTTCGCCACTGTAACGAGCGAGGGGCGGCTACTCCTGTCGCAATCTGAACATTGCATTGCAGCTCGGGGTATCCCATCCAGATTCCTTAAATACCAGTCCGAGTCGGCCCCCAGAGCTCTTTCTTTCAACGTTACAGTACATTGCTTTCTTCCTGAATCGAACGTCGAATGAGAACCTAAAACTGCAAGTTATGCCAACGACTTTAACTACTCCCCATTAGCTTCAAAATTCTCCATTGTCTTATACCCATAACCCCTACGTTGATGTCGAGAAAGCGACGGTATTTTTAGGTTTTGTTTGCGACGGTGCATCTCACTAAAAGATTAATATTTTCCAACTAAATATCCACTGAACAAATCTACCACTTTTGCAGGAACGATGTTTGTTCACTCTATGAATTTCTACAATTATGAAGGGATCAAATAAACCATATTACCATCTTGGATTTACACAAAACCAATTCTATGAATTAATTACATCTTGAAGTTCAGCCATTCTAATTGTTTTGTTTTACAATGGATATGGGTTTAATATCTACACATCCATGCCCTCTATGTTTAGTTGAGAGTATATTATGACACATGAAGTGAGTGTTTGTGCAAAACACGCCAGTGACAGTAATAAGTCCACACAAGATGTAATGTGGCTCACCTCTTCAAAGGGGCTAGGTGTCCGCGCCAGTAAACTCACGCTTGAGAGATATACTGAAAATGTGTTCAAAGTAATAAACAAAACCTGCGGTATAAGTATCCGACACTCGTAACTATTTTTAGTAGGACTGAGGTTACTCTTTAACCTGAATTAACCTCAATTCAACTTTCCTAGATAGACTTTTGGGGTGCGTAATTTAATGAGCATTTCTGCAACCTTTGCCTAAGTTTAACATATACATCGTGAATAAAGTAATTCTTGCCCATTCATCTAGCTACAATTACAATTATTAATATCACTAATATTTATCTCAATCTTTTAATCGAAGTACAAGTTTTGTAGCATTCTCTTGTATGATGATTAGTAGTAGCCTAGGGGTCCAATTCAGATCGAAATTGTGCAAATTCAGATCCCCGTATTGACTACCAATATTTTAGAAAAATGAACACACACTACTGGGTGACATTCTTTGGTTTCATATTTGTTTACTCTTCCTACTTTGATAGGTTGTTTCTTACCTTTTTGACAACTTGGCCCACTCAGCACTCTATATATATCCGATCGTTCGAATTTATAGGTTGATCATAATTCTCACAAGTTCATCAAATGAATAGGCAATACGCGATCTCTGAACTCACTATAGTCACACAAACGAATTTCAGTTCTTTTAAAATACAATCATAGAGCGCATACTCTTGAATTAGAATGTTTCATCACTAACCCAATTGAAGGAAAACATTTTCTATACATTTCAATCAATTCTTAGACCCCAAAAAAGCTAATATAGAACAACCAGCATATTATTCCGGTTTTTTAAAGAAATATTATAGAAATATATGATAAAAATTTTAAGTAAAAAATTATATAACTCAAATTTTGGTGTAAGATGTCATTTGAATCTTTTTTTAAACTAATCAAATCTTTGGAAGTGATTGCTTTACTCAGTCCAGCACTTAATGTTTATCTAACTAAGTAACACAAAATAAAAAAACATATCAAAATATATTTATTACGTCTTTGACTACAAGTAAATTTTTTGAATAAAAAATTACACATACATGTACGATTATTGATTCAAAAAATAGAGATGAAATATGATGTATGAAGACTTTGTTTTGAAATTAATTTACGAAAATTCTTCAAATAATGTGTATAATCTCACCAAATATTTAATCGAATGGAAAAATGATAGTACATTATTGCAAAAAAAAATATTTTTGAATTTTAGCTAGACATATTCTCTTTTTGAATATTTTCTGAAATCATCCCTACTATAAAATATAATATGCTCGAATTCAAAAGATAAGTAGAAGTAGCCATTCAAAATATACGAAATATGGCTTGTTATTGATCACACATTTGTCAAAAAAAATGGTGTGTTGACTTGAAATTATTTCTCACTCTGGAGTGTAGTGTAACGTTAATTAGTATGCTTGACCCAGGATTCGTGTTAACATAGGTTTCAATTTCTTCAATCAAAGGATAAACTGAAGAACTGAAATATTTTAGGGTTGAATCAAAATAATCAGTTGTAACCTGAATTTTGTGTAGATTAAACACACATAAATCAGCATTTGATAGAGTCATTTGCTTCGATGTCAGATTTGGCTAGAATTGACTAATTCAACGTACATCTTGTGGTGCAATTGTATATTATGCATTCATCAATTGATGAAAAAATGAAATAATAATCAGCTGTAACCAGATTAAAAATCGTTATCTTAACTTTTACCTAAGTTACATCTATTTTGCGTTTGATACTTCAGGGGGAAGAAGTCATCGCCACATATTATGGACATTTTGCAAACTCCACCGGAGTGATTGCTACATGGAGTTTCCCTTGCGATAACCACAATTTTATGACATGTCTTATATTAACTTTCCATTTAAAAGTTGGGGGTGATAGGAAGGATTTTATAGAACTGGTAACAATATTGTAATAAGAGGTGAGGTAATCATAATGTAAATATCAGCAGTAGTCACTGCCACGTAGAATCTGATCACATGGTACATGCGTATGGACCTCGACTTTAGCTCACGATCTTGTGGGAACATTTTCAAGAGCATTCTCCATTAAATCTCCAAGCCATGTAAACTCTGACTTAAGGTAGATCAGTTAAATACTGAACCTTAAAATCGTTCACGAGACTAACTAAACCTTCGCAAAAATTAGTCATGTTTTGGATTATATGTATATATAATATGTCACGGATTCTCACTAACCTAAATATACTACCATGATTATATTCAGAATCTGTTCGACTTTTCTCTTCGTTACCAGATGTTTACCTTTCCATTATCAGGCTACCAGGGCTTTTTGAGACAACACTACGATCTGTATTCATGATGCGATAACCGAGTAAGGAGTCTGCGGACTAAGTTGGTATGTAAGTTTTTTACGGTTATTTGGTTGAAACTCGTTAAGCACGTCTGACACGCGAAGAAGAGAAGCAGTGAGAACAAGAAGTAGTTTCATGCTTGTGGTTATGCTTACAGATATGAAATTACTAGATCTTTCCTCGAAGGGAGAGACGGTCGGGGTACAACCACTCAAGCAAAGTCTTTTATTCACCAAGACCAGATCCAGAAGCTTAGACCTGGTACGAGATGCATGTGAATTGTTTTGTTTCCGTCGTTTATTCTCATCCAAATTCTGTGCTGTACATCTGACTTATATTTGTCCCATTTTCTGTAACTCTATTCTCCTCGAACTGCATGCAAGGAGTTTAAATTTGCTCTCTCGTAGTTCTCTTCATGTTCGTCATTTAGGCTCAGCCGCCGAAGCCACCTCAGCGTCCCTGACGACTTGCATTTCGTTAATCATGACACCCGCAAGCTCATCGTAGGCTTGTGCCCAAGCGCCATAGGTTGCTACTTTCTTCTCAGCAGGCCAGTCCTCTGGTAGCAGTGATTCGATGGTGGAGAGGAGGGCGGATTTCACAACCTGCAGAGAGTGTTCAAGTGAAGCCAAAGGTGAATCGCAGTATTTCCAGTTTGTCTTGCAACCGAGACAGTCAATCAATCTTTAAGGCTCTCCTCGTCATCCAACTTCTAACCACTGCACGTGGGGGCTTGTAAGGGTGGGTAAAGAGAGTTATCAGCTCTAATCAGCAGGAAGCTTATTCCATCCGTTCACGCTGGAGCTAATCCAATGGAATGAGAGCAGGTATATCTTCCAAAGATGTTCTGGGATAGGCCCATAATTCGCCTCAATCATCTCGTCGATGGATCTACGTTGGGAGATCCGACACCGAACGACATAACTTACTCGCGGATGCATCTGAACGTGCTTCTAATTGCCGGAGCAACTCCTGACGAGGTTCTAGCAGCGACGGCTGAGAAATATCGAGCTGAATGAGTTGATTCTCGTAGACACGATGTGTATGAGCTGTGTGAAGTATTGAGGGTTTAGGCGTCAAGTATTCCAGACGACCGAATGCTCTTCTAAGATTTACAGTCCAATCCAATACTTCAGCGAGGCAATACGTTTGATGACTGTGCAGACTGAAGGATGAATAGATCAAGCATCAAGACGACTGAATTCTTGAAATACGATGTAAGTGCTGTAGACGTGCAGCCCGTGCTAATCGTAGCTAGTGTCTACGGGCATCAAGGTGATGGTTACTAGCTGGACACCGGATATTCTGGTTGATAGAGGAGGAATTGCGTGACTACTGGCTGTTCTGCCTGCATAGGCCGTTCTAAACACTATTGCGTTGTGATCGCAGCAAAGACAGGTCACAGAGAAAGATATGCATGTACTTACATCGAAGTGAGCAGCAATGACGCCGTAACCGACGTGCTTCTTTCCGAGCTCTTTCAACTTTGGATGTAGAGCATCGATAGCTCCTTTCTCCCCGAGCATAGAAGCACTATCCCCAGTCTGTCAATGCCAGTTGAGTACATCACTAGATCCGTGAGCTACTCACATGCATTGCTGATATTCAAGCTGTTTCTGATACGAAGAGTGAGAGAAATGTCTGCTGGCCACATCCTTTTACTCTATAGATTGCATGAACTGTGTATAGATTCAATAATGTTAGAGAACTCGAGACAAATATCATGACAGGGAAGGGGAAGTGGAGCATTACAAGCCTGAAAACATTGAGCGCGTGAGCTTTCAGCTTTGGATTCTTGTCGAAAGGAACGTCCGAGTCTTTCAGAAAAGAGAAAAGGGCTCTTGCTCCCGGCGCAATTTCAAAAATTCTGCAGGTCAAGGCAATTCAGCGCTGATCACAATGGGCTTAGAGCTCACAATAACAAACAGCAGGTGTATAATGTTCTATTCCTTCCATATACTGCAAACGGAAAGAAGTATTAAAAGAGTCGGGGCCTAGAGGCGAACTGATTGCACTCACTTAGTAAAAAAGGTCAACGAATTTGTGGCCGAGTCTTTCTTCACCATTTGCCATGATTCTATCACCAACTGTGACTGCTCCTTCGTGAAAGTGCTGGCGGCCATTCTGCTTCCTGAACAATGTCCAGCCCATTCTCAAATTTTGGTCTTTCTGCGAAAACTTGAAATCCAAGAGCTGAACTTACACAAAGCATAATTCATATTACCCCACTCCTATCATCCTTGCTTCCCTCGTTATCTGATCAGCTATCGCCGGAATTAATACTTGCGAGACCTTGCGAGGACAAGTCTAGAATCTGAGCAGCTGGATTTGCGTAGTCTTTAAAGAGCCCGGAAGTAGAGTACCTGAGAAGAAAAGTGTGTACTCTGTGAACTATACAAGTCGAAGTTCTAGCAGTATTGCGTAGCGGGCTTGGTTCTCCGGAGAGAGTCCGCCATCTCAATTTATATCCGCCTCTAAGACCTCAAGAGCTTAATTCTACGCTGCTCATTCGCTGCAGTGAATGACTGCTGGAGGCAGTTAGCACATGCAGGTTTCGGACACACACAGCACATGAGATCTGGCGCGGCATGATCCTGGATCGCAAGGGCAGCGGCCTCTCCAAGAGCCAAAGGCCACGCTTGGTTTTGCTGACTCAAATTCAATCTTATGTCTCTCTCCGCGTAGGCTGGTGGATCTAATCATTCACGCCCTACACCTGACCCTGTTGAACACGCACCATAGCCCGATGCCATCTCCTACGTCTCAGATCTCTCAATCTCAGACTGAATGCAGCGTGCAGCTGACCCGGAATCAGCTCAGTTACACTTTCTGCGTTCTTCTCTCGACTTCCAGAATCCATTCCTAGACCTTTGATGCCGATTCTCTTCCAGACAAAAAGCTAAACATAAACGCCCACTGAAAGGCCTACACCTCTCACCATTTTCGTGGGATTGTAACGCTTGGGCCGCTTTGTCATCACAAGGGGTATCTGAAGCTACTCGAGGCCAAATGGGGTTTCATGTGTAGTATATATCACGTATGACAAACTTCTGGAATTTCGGTGGCATTGTGGATGCGGGTCTGTCCAATCAAAGGAAGTCATGCAAACGAGCACATTACTTGATAGACAACAAATTGTCGTCAGTCGTCCGTGATATCCCGCGCGACTGAATCTGAATGGTGACGGGCTAACTGCATTCCATGCAGTATAATCATTTGTTATTACATCATCAAATTTCCACAACCCTTTTTTAAAGTAATAAGTGATAGGTTCTAGGAATCTATACAAATATAAATTTAAGATCACATAAACAATTTCACTTAAAAAAAAATTCACATAGAAAATTGATATGCAAGCGATTCAAAAAGAAAATAATCTAAATAGCTAGATAATAATGCAAGTAATTTGACAGTGAGAATTTTTGAATACACAATCAAGGATAGTGCGCAAGTAAAAAATTTAAGGTTTGAAGATTCTAACCGTTGATATGCATTATCTAGATAGATCAATAAATTGCAGATTTGTGATCTTGAATTAAGTATTATCTACAAAAGTGATCATGCAATTTTTTAGCTCTCTATAAACTTGAGTAAATACAGATTGTTCTTGATTGCAGTTGCATCAATGAAGTTATTCTTTTATTTGATTTGATTTATTTCAAGTTTTATACTGTATCACAAAATTTCATAGAGTTTTTTGCTCTATTGAACCAAAATAATATATGAATAAAAATAAGACAATCCCTTGTTCAAGGCTTATGTTGCACACATCATGTTATGTGAAATTTGAAATTATGTTTTTTTCACTTTTTCATGACAAAGATGATTTCATTGGCATTGATCATGCCATGCGATTCACTGTTTATTAACAGGTCTGTTAAGTACAATATGCCCCATTGAGACACAGACAGGTGCCTCAATTTCCACCTGAGTCTTTAGTGAAAATTTTTAAAGACTGATCATGCAAATTAGCACTAGAATGTAGGTTAACAACCAAAGCTAAATTAAAAAAAAAACTTTATTTCAAAACATAGAGTGCAAATTGATGAACACATTTTTTGAAAAAACTTGAATCTAAAAATGGAACAATAAAAAATAAAAAATATATAAGTAACTAATGTATCAACAGTAGATATAAAAAAATTGACTATAATATATATTTATAGGTTAAATATATTTATATTTAAAATATCTTATGAAATTATTTCAATATTCTAAAAATAATATATACTTCTCTCACTCTTATCATCATATCTATTTAGATTCATGCTATAGATCCATTGCCTTTTTCTGTGGCTTTGAAAATATCTGTGATTTTATAAGTAGAAAAGAAACTTACACTAAATTATTATTTTTATTGAAAAATAATAATTCTATTTTTCAATATCGATACATTCTAATATCTAATATCTAATACATTCTAAAAGACATATTAAATTTTTTATACTTTTTAAAAATTTATTTTTTCTATCTTTCTTAAAAATAATATTTTGATGAGAGATTATAAATATAATTTAAAATAATTTAAAAAATATTATTTCAAAAACAAATTGATTAAGTATTTTAGCACTATATATGATTTAAATATTTGTTTTTTGACATTCGTTTACAAGAAAGATTTCAGATAATATGTCATAGTTAATTGGTAGGTTATATTATCAAAAAATATTGATTGATATAGTTATTTAAGAAAAAAACAGCATGATTACACTTCAATTCATAAATTTTAATAATAATAATATTTAAAATTAAATTAATATTTTAATTTTTGTCGATATGATGAACTTTAATTTTAAATTGATAAATTTGTTGTAATGAATTTTTTTAAATAAAAGTGGATCCAACCAAAAAAATTCGATAATCTGAAATTATTTGTGTTTAATAAAACTGTTCTATATTCTCATTTTTCTAGTCATTCACATTTTCTGGATCATCCACTCCATTGTGCGTGCATATATATATATATATATATATATTATAAAAAAAATTTGTATCTGCAAAGATATTGATTTGTTCCACATAAGAGTAAGATAGCAAAGTAGACGGTTACATTATTTCCTTATGTAAGTTACGAGTTCTAAGAAATGAGCTTCATCTGAACAATTTTATGACAAAATTTTTCTGTATGTTCTTGTAGATTTGCAACTTGAATATAACATCCTTGAAGTAGAAAGCGTGTTGACGCTGCTAACGCCGGTGAAAAAGACCCGACTCTTAAACAGAACCGGACGAAGTGCAGAGTGTGAGTGTAGATGGTGTCAAGATACCTGAGGATTGTCGAAGCATTTGAATCCTCCCATGGCTTCAATATACTGTCTCAGTAGACACGAATCCTTTCACCCGTTGAGGCTGGATAGTTTGCTCCGGTCTGAGCCAGTGAATCAAGAACTAGCCTCGATTGCTCCGGTCTGAACCTCTAAAGACTCCAAGTACGGCGGCAGCTTCTATCTCGCATCGATGTCGATGTTGAGAGCAATGGACCAGAGTAGTTGTTTGATGGGATTGCAAAATCATCTGCAACAATTGTAGCTGATGAAGCTTTCCTGCTTTCGAGCAGACAGTCAGGATTCAGCTCGTTTCCGAAATCCTAGAAAGAAACGGGAGAAACTCTGGAGTTCTTCAGCCATTGGGCAAAAGAAATTCTCGGAACACCGCTCAAAGCTCTTCTCTCGGATCATTCAAAATGCACTCTTGAGTCTTTTTGTTCATTATTCATCGGTTTTGCTCTTCAAAGTTGTTTTCAAAATTGTGACCAGACTCAGATTTGCACATGAGCTCCGACAAACTGTATACTTTCATTTGGAATTGGAGGGAGTGAGACACGTTCCAAATTTCCAACCAGTGCGGAACTGAGCCCTGGACCTCCCGCTCTCCTCCCCTTCGTTCCAAGGGGCTAATCCCAAATACCTACCGCTGACCTGTACAGCCGTCACCTCCCATGCGGCATTGACAGCCTTTGCTTTGCAGCTTTAGGACTCAATGGACTGAACTCTAACGCTGAACGGTTTTATTGGATTTGGCTTTTCTAATCGCTTAAAATTGCATAATCGGCCACTTCGCAGAAAGAAGATCCAGTCCATGATGAAATGCGGATTGTGGAAACATGAGGAAGACAATGTACCGGTAAACTTACGGCTGGAGGGATGAGAGGTAGGAGACTAGGGTCACGAGCTTGTTCTTTGACCTGCACCTCCAGAGGTAGAACCCTTGGGCGCTTACCCGAAGGTTTAGGAGCTAACGCAGCAATACACTTCGAAAGCGGAATTCCATCTTGGAGACATTGCAGGACTTCCACTTGGCACTATCTGAAGCGACGAGAGCTCGCCAACTCCAGCTGATTATCCCGACCTCTGCAGAATATTGTTGAAGAGTTGAATATTTATCTCCATCCTACGACTTCTCAGAATCTTGAACCCTCAGGTTGCCAAACTTTCCGATAGTTTCAACCACTTCTTATCGAAACAAATACCCGACTCCAGAAGCATCCATATCGTCCATGGGATAGATCACACCAATTGCAACGTAGTGCCAAGCGCAGGATAGAACATTTCCCAACAAGAAAGATGTGTACGAGAGAACTTCTTGTGTAGTATTTGCGTTACAACTTTCCAGTCTGAGTCACGTCCATGCATACAGCTTCCTTCTCGTTCAGAACAAACTTTCAAACGTTTCACCTTAGAACCATGTTAATGGGTTTATCCCGCTGTGTGATTCCACGCTGCGTGCATTGAACACCCGTCCTCCACGGATGCAATACAGTATGTGACGTCTTTTACCACGTGCTGTTCTCGTCGTTTGCGTACCCCAGCGATATCACCAGACTCACCTCGTACGTGCCAGGGTAGAGAAAGAAAAGGCGAAGCGTTCGAATCCACCGCTTTCAGGGATACCAGCGCTGTATCTAAGATTAGAAGCAGAGGTTGCAGAATTGGAGGTACCTCCACGAGAATCTAGATGAAATACCCGGCGTCCAGATGGAGCTCGAGGCCGGACGTTTCTCACTCGATGACTTTAAAGATCTCTTGAACCTTCATGTACTGACATTCTGCGCTTCTTGCATAAGCGCTGAAGTTTCGGCAGCCGACAGCACGATCAGCGTTTTCAACTCTATGCCCGATGATGGATGCTTTGACTGCAGGCCTAGCTCGGAAGCAAAGAGTGCAGGATTCGAATAACTTGGCATTGATCTCCTAATGGCGCAAGACTACGACGGCCTTCAGGAGAATGTTGATGGAGCTTTCAAAGGTTCCAGGTCACTAGCCGACTCTGTAGCCACTGACAAAGTCTTTGACTTCTGCTTACGAACGTCCCATACATTACAACTCACGCAAGAACGACGACACTCCCAAAACCTTGTTAATGAAAGAAAGCTTCTACCCAGTAATCAGGTCATATGAAACTCTACAGTGGAGATTTTGGTGATGCGTCACCGAAGGTTATTACCTTCGGTGACACATCACCAAAATCTTCCCTATCGACCTATTTTACATGCACGAAGCTTATAAGTAGGAAACAGATACCG